AGCCTTGTTCGACGTGCGTGCGAGGGGAGAGGAAGGGGAGGAACGGGGATGGTCATGTTGCTGGTTGAGCTGGGGCCCGTCCTTCCATCACGAACGTTGGTGCATCGCTTGTTCGACATTCATGCGGGTTTTTGTGCCGAGGGGACTCGCCTGCTTGCTGTAGGCAGCAGTAGACGAAGGTTCGGTGTGTTTTTTTTGTAGCAAGCGTCGACGATTGTTTGCAGATTGACCAACGGCAACCCGCCGTGTCGCGTTTGATAGGGAATGTCGAATGATACGGGGAGGCCAGTCACTGCTGTGTAGAGAGAGAGGAGGGGTTGTCGCTGAATAGCCTCTGATTTAAGCATGCAATGCGAGCGCAGAGTGCCGACGAAGTCGTGGTGGGCATAACGTTGTGATTTTTGCACCTTGGACAAAGTCCCGCGAGGTCCAAGCGTTTGCGCCCTTGGGACAAGGTCAAGCTCGCCGGACCTCGGGCCAGGCGGTATCGGGGTTGACCTTGGCAAAGTACTGCAAGGTCCCAGGAATCGAGCGACCTTGTACAACATATCTATTCTTGCGGGCCTCGGGGCAAGGTCGAGTTCGGCCGACCTTAGGCAAGGTCTTCGTTGGGGTTTGGCCTTGACAGAGGCCGTGCAAGGTCCACGCGAGCGTTCGACGTTGTGCAACGTGCTTGTTTTCCCGACCTTGTGAGCTTGTGGGCTCGTGACGTTGCACAAGGTGTCTACAAGGTCCAAGGGTATGGTCCACGTTGTGCAACCTGCTTGTTTTTCACCTTGCGGCAAAATTCACCTTGTACAAGGTCCCCACAAGGTTCAGGAGAGGCCGGACCTTCCACAAGGGGGGGTTACCGTCCACCTGTGGAGGGATCAGGCCTGCGCACTCCTTTGACAAGTGGCATGATGTCCCTCCGAGTAACGCCGACGACTACACCCAATTTCTTCGTCCAGTCGTTGAAGTCCTCTGGTTTCGTTCCATCGAACTTGGGGAGTCCTCTGATGACGTTGGCCAGGTTTGTGGATCCATCATTCCAGATGCTGCCTCCGCCTCCAGTTCCCGATGTTGCTTCCATTTCTGGTTTTATCCTGATGATCTCGTCTTGAATATTTTTGTTAGTGTATTGCTCAGCTATCTGTCTCTGAGATTCTTCCAGCCCCGCTTTTTCTATTGATCTAGAGGACTCCGGTTGCCGATTCGTGACCCCGCTTTTGAAACCCTTTTCTCAGTTAGATAGAAAATTGGTGAGCAGAAGTCCGGTTGTAGGCCAATTTGCGACCCCGCCCCTGATACCCTTTCCTCACCTAGATGGAGAATCGGTGAATAGGACTACGGTTCCCGGTCGACTTTCGCTGTAGATCCACAGTCTTCCCTCCTGCCTCTGCCGCAGAAGTCTTGCTCGATGTCTAAATCGAGGCTTCCCGCGCAATACTTTGCTGTTTGTCCACCACAGAGGTACCCACTACTGCTGTTGCAGCAGTGGTAACGTGTGTATAATGAACTCTTAGCCCCTTGGTGTAGATGACCAAGTAGTGCGCTCACTTTCGTTTCCGCTGACCGTTGATGATCTCCCAAGTCTCCGAATCCAGATTTCCGCTCGAGGTTCACAGACGGATGTTGTAATACACAGCAGTAGGATGTCTTGACCTCCGTCGTGATGTCCGCAGCTCCTAGTGTTCGCGTAAAGCGAGGCTAATAACCTCACAGAAATGTGGCGTTCTGCCGCAGCGGAGGTGGCGGTGCTGCTGTAGCTCGTAGACCTTGTAGTCTACCACAGAGGTTACACTGTTGTCACCGCGGTGCTGCTGTACTGTAGCTCTTAGACTTTGGAGTCTATCACAGAGGTTACACTGCTGTGAGATCGGTAGGCCCGAGCGAGCTTCGGAAAGAGAAATGCAGATAGATGTTCTTATCAACTGACTCCCTGGTCAGGCTTTGATAGATTGGTGCTAGGTGAGAGTGAGCACAAGGGGCGAAGGCGCGCTTGTGTCTCAGCCTAACAACAAAATAAAAACAAGCAGCAAACACAGCAGGTTCCGAGGGTCTCCGGGGTAATGGCCCGAGTACCGAAATTTCGGGGTTCGGAACAATAAAACGACTACAGTCTCGCCTGCCAAATTATCTCCGCTACAACTCTGTGCTCATGTTCTCTGCTAAGTACCATCTCTTCTTTCTGTATTATGTCTACGCAAGGCTAGTTGCCGCAGTCGCACCTGTGGCAAACTGTGCCTGACTACGTTGTAACAGTATTCCTCGACAGGGCCTTGTAACATACGAGCGCGACCAACCCCGTCAACCAAAAACTGTGCCGCCTATCAGCATGGGCCCTGTAGCGGGTAATCTGAGTTATTGGAAACCACGTACGTTTTAAGAACATATTTGGGTGGGCACCCACAGCTTGCCGCAGGCAGTCTACCGATAGGTTTTGCCGGCAACAAAAAGAGTAGGCAACTCTGTAACAATCGTGGGAAGATGGAGACGTGAATGCATTTAGCCGACTGTGGCGCTTGAGTCCTAGGCCCATTCCCGTGTACGTGCGCACGGAGGTCTGTAGTGAACAAAATACTCATCCCAGTTCCTCACCCTCCCAACGTGTGGCATCTCGCCATTTTATGGATGAAAATAACGATGCGCAGGATGGTTCGGGACTTCGACGAGACGTGGGCTCCGCCGAAGATATGGATGATCTGAAGGACATGCACAAGACGTTGCCAGAGTACAAGGATGCGGAGTGTGTGGATGGAGTCGACCCTCAGTTCCTCATCGACGCGCTCCGCAGCAGACACTTTCCTTGGCGAAATCTCATGGAACAGCTGATCGGCGTGTGGGCTGTGACTCACCGGCCCTCGCGAAAGTCTTTGCAAATACTCCTGGGTCTGTTCAGTTTCGTCGATCGACAAGGCTACCGGTTCCGCCCGGAAGATGCTCCTCGTTCGGTTGAGCACCTCATCAGTCGGATGCGAAAACGACTGCCACATCTCCCGGTTTTCGAGCGAACGATCAATGACAAGAACGGCGAAACTGCGAAGGCGATCGACATCCCTTTCAACGTTCTGCTTCAGCGAATGCTTTCCTGCCCACGCGTAGTCGAAGAATGGCGCAAGAATTTCGGCGGGCACGTCATGTCACGTAGCGAACGCGCCAAAAACAACCTACCCGACGAGCACATCACGCCGGTCGCTACGGAGCTAGCGGACAAGGCCTGCGAGACTTACATGAACGGCAAGCTCGTTCGATCCTTTTCTCACATGGGCCTTCAATGTGTTACGGCTGGAGATGGGGTGCAGGTGATGGTCGGTGACACCATCATGGCCCGCGTGCCTGACTGCGGCACGCCCCAGCCATGCAGGTTAGCTGCTATTTCTGGCGGGACCTTCAGAAACGAGACAGAAGAGATCTGCAGCTTGCAGGAGGAGGGCCGGACTTGGCGGAACGGCTGGGGCTGCAGGATGAAGAAGATAGCGGTAGCGAGGCCAGCAGCAGCAGCAGCAGCAGCAGCAGCAGCAGTGACAGCAGCAGCAGCAGAAGCAGCGAGGACGGCAGCAGTGAGGACGGTTGCAACAACGGCGGCGGCGGCGGCGGCGGCGAAGACAGCAGCAACAGCGGCAGCCGTGACAATAGCCGCAGCAGAAGCGGGGACAACGGCAGCAGCAGCGAGGACAGTAGCATCGATGGCAGAGCCACAAGGAGAACCATTCAGGCCCAATGCCGGACAAGCGGCCGTGTGAGAGGGCGAACCTGGATGGGGAAAGCCTACGCGGAGACTTTGGCGGCTAGTGTGACTCAGAAGTGAAGGAGAAAAACCACAGGGGAAGCGGCGGACCCCGATGGCCGAAGCACCAGCTCGGAGGAGAGCATGGGTAGCAACGAGGGTCATCTCGTTGTCCGTATCAATCGCCTCCTGTCGAGGCGTGAGGTGGGCCATTCTTTCGCAACTAAGCGTCGACGTGAGGAGAAGTACGAACAACTCTGGGAGCTCACGAACGACCCACTGGAAATACGGGTCGGGGCGATGTCGGGGCGTTGTTCGGTCCTTGTACCTGGCGATACATCAGAACCATCGGATGGTGACGCTGTGCCTGCATATGACGGGGAAGGCTTCGTTGAACAGATCCCCCGGACAAACGAGCTGCGGCTGGCGATGGCACCTTGGACGAAACAGGGATACCACGGTCGGTTCTTCGATCAGAGAGCAAGCGGAGTTCACAAGAACCTGGCGGGGCTCCCTGTGATCTCCGCGGGCATAGCGTGCAGCTCGGACGACTTCAATTACTTTAGCCTGAGCGGCAGAAAGTACAGCGTGAATGCGACTTTCGTCGGGTGTGGGTGCATGTCGCCAACTCTTCTACGACGTCCTCGACCTTGGTACCTGGCTACGCTCGGGTTGCCGGGCGCGGCGTGGGAATTGGATATCTTGCCTCTCATGAAAATCATTCGCCGTCTTCAGAATGGGTGCAAGGCAGAGATTTCGGTCGGAACCAAGCTAACCGTGACGGTGAGTTTTGCTGTATTAGTTCAAATCGTAAAGGGCAACGGAGCTTCAAGTTGTGTAGAGGTTGGCGCAGATCTACATCATGCCCCCCCCCCCCCCCCCCCC